CTACTTAGTAGGGTAATGAGGGGTGATTGCACAGGTTTAATCCACAACGCTATAACCCACAAAGACCAGCCGTGCATAGCTCTCCTGATTCTCCAAGTAGCACAGCACAGCATGGAGGGCTGTGGCTACGGCGTCCTCCGTGGATGTATTTGCCCTGTATGCAAACTGGTGTGGGTCAAATGTTGGTGGAAGGAATGACATAATGTGTCCCCGTACCAGTTTCTCAAAACACTTCATCACCACTGGAGTGAGTGCAACTGGCTGGTAGTCATTGAGGCTGGTTATGTTGGGTTTCTTAGGCAGGGGAACTAGGATGGAGGACTTCAGGCAGGGTGGGACAGTGGACTGGGCCAGAGACCATCACCACTGGAGTGAGCGCAACTGGCCAGTAGTCATTGAGGCTGGTTATGTTGGGTACTTAGGCAGGGGAACTAGGATGGAGGACTTCAGGTAGGGTGGAACAGTAGACTGGGCCAGAGACTGGTTGAAGATCCTGGTCAAGATTCCAGCCAGCTGGTCCACGGGGTCAGCACACGCCCAAGGACAGCGTCCGGTCCAGCAGCCTTCCTCAGGTTTACGGCCCGCAGCGTGCACCTCACCTCATGCTCCCCTACTGTGAGGGTGGGGCCGCTGTGGGCCACAGGGTGAAGTTTGGCTATGTCTGGTTGCTGCCCCTCAAAGCGGGCAATGAAGAGGTTCAGCTCCTCTCCCAGCGAGTCCAATTTGGCCTTTCTGATGCCTCTCTTCAGGTTAGCTCGGGCCGCGCTGTAGAGAGCCCTGTCGCCTGTCCTGAAGGCTGTGTTCCTCCCAATTGCTGAGATAGCATTAGCATCCGGCGGTATGTACACATTTGTTGTGAAGACCACATTGTGCTCTCTTGGGAGGTACATAGGCCTGCATTTGACAGTCACATACTCCAGGTCTGGGGAGCAGTGACTGTCTACAGTCACTGTGTTCATACACCAGTTGTTATTGACATAAATACATAGTCCCCCTCCTCTGCTCTTACTGGAGTCCTTCGTCCTATCATGGTGCTTTACTGTGTAGCCTGCTAACTCGATAGCAGAGTCAGGGATGTGTGGATGAAGCCAGGTCTCTGTGATCAGCAGAATCCAACTATCCTTCATCATGTAACTGGTCGCAACCAAATCATCCATCTTACTAACAAGTGCTCTGGCATTCATCAGAAAAGGGATGGGAAGCAGTGGTTTGTGTGGTTGCCTCAGTAGCCTAGCTAATGCTCCGGCCCTGCAGCCTCATTTCTGCTTCCTCTCCTTCATGTGGCGCCTTCGTGTCCTTGCCGTGGGGATGGTAATCCATAGAGAACCGGGGCTCCTTGCTATGTCCACAGGTATCCTGTGCAAGCGGGGAAACTCAGCTGTAACTCTCTGCTTGTAGCAAGCTCCTATCTTGTTGTTCGCCCAGCAAAATGTACACAGTATGGAAAACAACACGTACACAAACCCCCAAACAAAACACCGACTGGAGGAGCACTGAGCCACAGTAACAGCGTGCACCGCCATCTTTCTAAAAAAAAAAAAAAGCAGCTAGTTATAGCTACTGTATAACAGAATATAATAGAGCCTCACTGATCTATCTTTTGGAATCACAATACCTCAACAATCTCATTTTCACAAGAAGGGAGGCTCACAGCACAAACTGGGATCCAAAATCCTTGGCAAATGTAAAAACTCAGTCTCCTTACTGAAGACGTCCATGTGATATGGTCAAAAGTTAAGAGGATTTCCAGTACACAATTACCCGATAGGACTGTGTTTACATCCAAAGCAAAGCTGCAGTAAAATGCCAATAAGTTATTATATACAATGGTGTATATTTTAATAAGGCTGGTTTAAAAGCAGTGAACCTGTCCCTTATAGACGGGTTCACTGTCAAAGAGACAGTAATGCAACTGCTCATACAGTACATGTCCAAGTTCACAGTTAGGCTATACTGTATGTATTTGGAGTGCAGTGCAATTTCCAAGATGAATAAATCGGACCAAAAAAATGAAATATAATGGCATTAAGTGAAAATAAAATAGCCAAGTGTTTTTGTATCTGTGGTGAAATGATTGGGTGAGACAAATTAAAGGCAACAAACCTGACTGATGGTGCTCATGGCCCTCATGTAGCTTTCATTACGAGAGCGATACTGGGGTGAGGACAACAGCGATTTGGGGTCGAGGAGGGTTTTGGGGTCCAGGGTATCCACGCTTCTGTTGATTGATACCTCACTCACCGCACGCAGGTAACTGTGGCTCCTGATCTGCAGTTTGGGTGAGTGCTCTGTCGAAATCCTGGCCGAGGGACAACAGAGATGTAGAGTTATAAGACTATTTCTGGACTTAGTCAGCATCATACTTGTTTCAGTCACTAGTGGTCACTATCCAGGTTACATAGAAAATAGCATAATACAACTACATTAACATGATAGTTGCTGAATCAATTCAGCATGCACACATTGTAATAATTTATCAACCACAGCAGCTTCTGAAGCCGTCAGTGTCTTTAATGTGACAGATCTGTGCTATACCTTACCTTTAGTGGTGGTGCATTCGTCAGATGGATTTGTCAGTATGGCTGTCAATATTTCAGACAAGCAGGTCTTCTTCTTTGCACAAGTATTTAGGTTTTTAAATATAATTAAGTGTAATACATTTTAGTACAGGCCCACTATATGCCCTTTTGATCAAAATAGATGTTTCTTTTCAGTTAAAAACTCTTATTCCAAAACATTTGCAGCCATGTCATCACAAATCTTCAGGGCCCCACAATAAGCAACACCATTTTCCAAACTTAACCTACCATTAAATGGCAAATGGACTGTATTTTATATAGCGCTTTCTCACAGTGTGTTGCACTGGCCAAAGCACTTTACAGAAAAAAACAAAGTATCGTATCCTCACCCAAACAAAGAGCAGATATGTGGCTTGACACACAACATCTGCATTAGATTTGCTCAGGTTAAGCAGTGGCAGGTCCAGCTGGCTTGTAATGGTAGTCACCTTTGAGAGCCAGGTCTGCTCAGCTGTCCAACTGAGTAATATACAGTGCTATACCAATGTTTTGTTTTTCCCGTGTGTTTTATTTTACTCAATATTACTCAGTTGTACTGGGTTGAATTTCTATATTTAGGGAAAATAAAACTCTTTCCACACAGTACTTAAGATATGCTAAATGTTCCATTGTCCTACTGACAACACAGAGAAACATTTTGAGAACCTTGACTTACACAGTACTAATGGAACATTTCATTTTGACAGGATTGACTTATTCATTGACACACTTGTGAAATACAGTTTTAGCTAAAGGTTTTGGGTGATGTGTATTGTTTTTCTAACTACTACAGTGTTGTGCTGTTTGTATAAAGTGTTTTGACAAATTCATAATAAGCTCTGAGAATGATAGCGATGATTCAAGCAATGAGCCAAAGCTATTGAGAAAATAGGCTTCAGATAAATTCAATTAAAACACAAAAGAAGAAGGCAGACTGTGAAAACTATGAGGAATTGTTTCAGAGCCAGGTACACTTTTTGAATAGCTTGCTCTTTCTAAATTTTCTGAATTACCAACTGTATATATAGTAAAATAGATTTCTGCAGATCCCTCACATCCTGGACACAAACTGTTTGAACCTCTGCCCTCTGGAGGGCGCTACAGGACACTGTATGGCAAAACAACCAGACAACAGCAGTTTCATTCCTCATGCCATCACTGTGATTAACAGCTAATCCATGTACAGGATAAGAGCAAGCACCACCAGTGGATTAACTTGTAAATATAACCATTGTATATACATATCTGAAAGCTCTTGTAGACTATATACATACATATATTTATAAATAAATTGTCTTCTCTTCTTTTGTCCAGTTTTTTCTTATTTGAATGCACATATTCTGTTTTACAAAAGCACACTGATTGAGAGCCTCTGTACTAGAGTCAAATTCTGTGTGTGTTCACCATACTTGGCCAATAAAACTGATTCTGATTCTTAGAAAGTGCAATGCACCCTGACTGTGTGGTAGTAAGACCACAGCTCCTCTTTGTCTGGGCCTGACAGTCCACGCTAACAGTCCACATAAATAAATGATTCCCTCCTGACTGGAACTGAGAACAGGTCAGGATGGGCCAAAGATTCCTGGCAATCTCACAATTCTCTCTGTATAGTAGTAGGTCACTTGATTAAACAGCACATCCACAGTTGAACAGACTTCTTGTTCATTTAAATCTGAAAAACTCTTGTTTGCACTGAATAAATCTGAAAGCAATTCTCTCCTGAGTAGGTTTGAGAGAATAGACAGGTTACCATGACAACAGGTTCTGTGAGATGTACAGAGAGCCAAAAGATCAGGGGGGTGTTTGTGGATTAACAAGTTAGCCGGATCATTTTGTTGACAATTTCACATAATCCCGAATCTGATTGTTTTTCAAAGGTCTCGCGGGACCTGTTATCATGGCAACATGTCCGTAATCTCAAACCTCGGGAGCCAGCTAGTTTTCAGGCTTATTCAGTGCAAACAAGATAACTTCACAGATTTAAAGGGTCTAGGAGCAGGAAGTGACTCACTGACATTGGAGTGATTATAATAACACATGGTATTGAGAGATCGACAGAACCCTTTGGCCTGTCCCAAACATTACTGATAAAACTGTACCATTTCAGTTAGGAGGAAATTTATTGAAGTGGATTATTAGCAGCTCATATTAAGAACAAAGAGGGTTGTTATATGTTGTTGTAGATAGGGTTGTTAGTGTGTAAAACCAAATAAAAAGTGCTATTTTTGAGCAATCTGAAAGGTGTACCTGGCTCTGAAACTATTCCTCTGAGTTTTCATACTCTGCCTTTTTCCTATATGCCTTAAAAACAAAGGATCAAATCAAATCAAATTTTATTTGTATAGCACCAAATCATAAAGTCATCTCAGGATTCTTTACAAAGTCAGGTCTAGACCTTACTGTTGTTATTATTACAGAGGAAAAACCCAACAAATCCCCCTTGAGTAAGCACTTGGCAATAGCGGGGAGGAAATGTAATCATTTGCTAAACCGTGTTAAACGATTATTCATAGGAAAAGATGGAGAAGTGCTGTAACTTTGCACAGAAAAAAAAATGTGAAGAATATCATACTTGATTTAAAATTTGTCATTTGATTATTGAGGCAAAGCTATGAAGAAAAACTAACAGAACTAATAGGGCTATGTTACAGTGATACCTGTAACATGGCTCTAAAGCCATGGCAAAAACAACAGGAGGAGCAGGACGAAGGTAAATAAGCAACTAATTTTAACACAATATGAAATTACCATAAAATAACAACACAAAATACCATGGGGTGTGATTGTCAGTATAAACAGTAATGAAAGTGTGCATGGATGGGTGAAAAAAGTAGGATGTAATGAATGTTGGGTAAATAAAACTAAATCCAGCTGTGTGGGAGAGAAGAGAGCTCCAAAGGATTGAGGATAGGTGGAGACTGATAGTCAGGAAGCACTGGGCCCAGGTGCCTCTAACTGGCCTAACTGGCTCCACCTCCTACTACTTGCTGCAGAAAACACAAAACACAGAACAAGTAACCAGAGTCAGGGGATGGTCCCACCCCCCTCCACAAGAACAAAATCCCAAAAGGAATTCCTGAAGATACAATTAATAACAAAGCACATAATTTTATACATTTACCAAACTGTTTCTAATGTGGACATTACAACCTGCTTGTTAAACTGCTTATGTCACCTTCCAAGGTCCAACAACCCTTGCAGCAAGGCTCCACCTCAGCAACCAGTGCAGCTAGGAAGCAATTGAAGAGGGGAACCAAAGAACAAAGTAACATTAAGCGATCACAAATCAGGAGCTCTAAACAACGCGTCTGCCACCACATTGTCAGACCCTTTCACATGGCGTATGTCTAGACAATATGACTGAATAAATAATGACCACCCAATTAATTGATTAGGACACTGCACAGAGGCCAGTGCGTTGTGGTCAGTGTACACAACAACAGGCGTGCTACTACAGTCAATATACACAGCAAAATGTTTCATAGCCATTAGCAGAGCCGGTGCTTTTGTTTCCAACCGAAATGAGCTCAACTTCTTTGAGAAGAAGCTGATTGGTTTGTCTACCCCGAAATCCTCTGCTTGATTAAGGACAGCCCCAGCACCAACATGGCAGGCATCCATATACGACTTGAATGGCTGATAAAAACGTGGGTTGACAAAACTGGAGCAAAACAAAGCACAAAACAAAGAACAACCTGCTTTCCAATGATCATCTTCTGACAATAATTATAGATTCTGTCCAGTTCACATGAATTATTGGCCTCCTTACCAAACTGACTGCTTCTGTCATCCAACCCAAAGAGTGCCAATTTCTACCACTACTGTCCTCTTTGAACTACTGTTTTTAAGCTCTGCAAAGGAACTTGTGTGTGTCAACATCAGAGAGGGCTGCTGCTTCAGCTGCAGTTTTCACTTTCTGCTTAATGATATAAGTGGCAACATGCTAAGGCACAGAGTTTCTAAACTGCTCCAACACAATAAGTTCACACAAACCCTCAAAATCAAACACATCAGCTGCTGAACACCAGTGGGTGAAATGAGTTGTTAGATCTCGCACAAACTCCAAATGTCTGCTTTGCTCTGTTTTTCCCCTAAGTCCTAAACCACTGACTGTTGGCTTCTGGGCATAACTCTTACGCCTTCAGAACAGCAGATTTTACAGATAAATACTTACGACTATCTGCAGTAGTCAGTGACGTAAATGCTTCCCAAACCCTGCCTGATAACACACTCAGTGTGTGCACTGAGTTTGGCCAATTACATGCATCAGCAACACATTCAAACAAACAAAAGAAAGACTCGGGATCCTTTTCTAAAAACTTTGACAAGAGGTGTAAATTACCCAGCACATCAAAGGCTGTTACAGACTGTGACTCTGAAGTACAGTGTCAGCTCAAAGTTTGCCCTCATTAATTAACTCAAATCTGTGCTGCTCAATCCATAGTTTGGCCTGTTGATGCGTTTGCTTCTCCAGTTCAGCCTTTTGGACAAACTTATCACGTGCAACATAAGCAATTCCTTCTGCTGTATAAATGTTAAATTGGTTGTAACTAACGAAACAAAATGAACTGATGAAAACAGCTGATGTGTTTTCTAACAGAATTTTCTTTTCAAATAAATTTGCTTTTAATATTGCCTTCACATTTGCTTTTAGATGTTTGTCTCCAATCTCAGTCTCATAATGCTCTGCTATTTTGAGCAACTGTTCTTTTGTGCAAGCATCTAAAATCTCCTCTGATGGAGAAGCAATAAATTCCTCCACATCTGCCATACTTTAAGACACGTGTAACAAACCAGTGAATTAAACAGGGTTGACTTATCTGGTGACAAGCCAAAACTGAATGTTTTCAGGTCTTAGACTTTTGCTGTAGCAGTAGTACAGAATAAGGCCCATATGATCACAATCCATCCAAAAGTGCTTAATTAAATAAAATGTGGCCACATAAGGCAGGGAGCCACCCAGCCCAAGAACCAGAAAGTTGACCGATATCCCTCTTCAGAACAACCCTCTTCTGCTGAAACTGTTTGAACTCACAAAGGAATGAGTGATCTGAAAGTGAAAGGAACCAAGTACCTGACAGAAACACAAACTGTTAACTGAGTTGCTGACAGAAAAACAGAATAGCTTCAAGCAATATTCATCTTTAGCTCTACAGTATGTGGGCTGGTTTTAAGCCAACAGAAGCCAGTCAGCTCATAAACAGACAGAGCGAGATATGGTGTGTACATGACACAGTAAGAGGAGACAACAGAGAAAGCAGCACATCAGGCTGAGTCCCTCAACTACTCACTGTAAAATTACTCACCTGTGAAAGCATAATGAGACAAATGTGTTATTTCTGGCTTCTTGCTGCAGCTCAAGCCTGAAGATTACACCTCTCTCAGGGACAGACTTACTGAGGCTACCTTAACCAGCCATATCAGGGTTGCAAGATTTCACATTTCTTCAACTGAATTCTACTTAAAAGACTTGAATTTGAACCTAAGATTGGGTTTACTTCTTTCACATCCTGAGACCACTGTAATGGATATCATATAAATATTAGTTTCAGCCAATGAAAATTACAGTGGACCTGAGGTGCAACCACAATAACATTTCACAAAACACAATGACAAAATAAAAAACACAATTACAAAAGAGGTAGGAACAACACTCTTTGCTCAGGATTGAACAAAACCTGAGTGAATATACATACTATATAAGGCACTATATGGATTTAAAGCCTCATTACTGCAATCTGTGAATGTTGAGGCTACTGCACTAATATTAAACTGAGTTTAAAAGGACAGAAGAAAGTAGGATGGCATGCTGAAATCATATGTAACATTTGGCCCAGAGAGCCATCTATCCATCCATTATCTATAACGCTTATCCTGAAGAGGGTCATGGGCTGGAGCCAATCCCAGCTGGCTTTGGGCAAGAGGACAGGTCGCCAGTCTATCACAGGGCTGACACTTAGAGGCAGACAACACCCACACTCACTCCTACAGGGAATCTACCTGTTGCCAATAAACCTGTGGGAAGAAGCTGGAGTGCCTGTGAAAAACCAGGCAGGCACAGAGAGAACATGCAAACTCTGCACAGAAAGACCCCAGTTTGGCTGAGGTTCAAACCCAGAACCTGTGAGGTGACAGCGCTAACCACTGCATCACCATGCCACCTAGGCTCAGATGGTCTCATGTAAAATAAGCTAAAACAGCAGTAAAGAGAATAACATGTTTTGCTTTGTTTTTTGCTAGCCTATATGATGACTGCTAGAGGCTGTGATATCCACAACAGGACCTCAGTATGGTCTGTGCATTTCAAGAAAATGTGCTTTTACTGTACCCGAACCAAATTAACTGATAATAAATCTTTCCGTTTAAAATGTACCTAAAAATATAACTGAGTAAAGCAATAATTTATTGGGTTTGTTCATGTGTATTATTAACACATGCACAGTTAAAAAAAAAAACACAATACAAAAATTATAGCATTCCATTTTGATGCGATTGAAACAATGTAAAATTTTAACATTTGAGCCTGATTTAAACACAGGATAAGAATGAACTAAAAAAGATGAGGTCTGATAGTCATGGTAATGATGTCATGTTAGGAGAAGAGAAATCTTACTGTAGGGTGGTCATCTCCGTCAGTGATGGCTGTGTGGCTTTTAGATAACTGGCTCGGCGTGCCTGGACCTTGGGGGAGGGTTTGGGACTTCCGTCAGAGTCTCCACTGTCGTCCTCAGCCATGGCTTTGACATAGCTGCCACTCCTCATCCTCCGACAGGGGATATCATCCTCCTTTCCTAGAGGAGAGAAGCCGCTCCACTCATCCTGAGGTACCTGGTGACCAGACAGACGGGACAGAGGAGCATTGTCAGGAGAATTCACTCCATTGCTGTCTGAGTCCCAGCCACCAAACTGGCTAACTAAATAGTCATGATGGTACATGGAACCTCAGAAACACAGCTAGCATGCAGTGCAACGATACCCACAAAACAGAGCATCCAAAAAACTGATGGCTGACATTTTCACTCTCTCACAGATGCAGACATACAAAGCTCCCGCAGTGCTGTGGTACATTCTGCTGGCTAATTAACATGGAACAGTACAGTACATGTATGGGTCAGCTTTGGTCAGTTTGACATTTCTCTCTGTCTAATTCATACATCTGCTTTTCAGGAGTCAGCTCAGGTCAGGCTCAGGTTCAGGTTCCTTTATTGATCACATTAAAAAGACATGAAACCATGAAAGACTCTAGAAGAATGCTACAGCCTATTACACTGGGTAATGGCAGCAGGAACAAGACTGTTTTTATACCGTTTAGTTCTGCATCTTGGCACTAGGAACCTATTTCCTCATGGGAGATGACATGAGAACACAGTACTCTCAATGTGCAATGGGAACACCAGAGTCCTTGCTCATAGCTTACTCTGCTCTGAACAAGATGTACAGTAGCTGCCTGCTAAAGAGAGTTAGCCTGATCTACTAGGGGATCTTCACAACTCTGAAAACTTCAGAACAAATTTCTATACTGGATTTACTGACCACATATTCACAATGTAAGCGGTTACTTTTTTGCTTGAAAAAAAAAAGGTAAATAAAAATTTACATGTTGCTTTAAAGACCCCATGGCATGTTTGTCCTTGTTTTCTGACTTATCAACAATGTTACAGCGGTGAATTATCATCTCAGACATGACCTAAGGCTCAAAAAATGAGGTGAACATATGTTCTAGTATATCCATGCAGAAGCGACTGTTCATTCAAGTTTCACAAACTCTTGCTTGCAAGACTTTTTTCTAACAAAATTATTATTAAGTAATAATGTGTATTATTAAGTATTATGTGATAGTTTAAGGATCTACTTGAATGGTCATAATGGCCAGGCAGTTATGCGTTTGTGCGTTTGCCTGATATCCAATGGTGCCATTCTAAAAGTGGAATTTTTCAATTGTGCATAGTTTTGTGGATATATTTTACCTCCTGCTGCTGCACTGTGACCAGAGGATGGGACAAAAATACATGTACCGGGACTTACTGTTTTACCTGACTGGGTCTAACCTACAAACAGCCGGCCGGTTAGTGGTCAGTTCATCAACGCTGGATTCCCCCGGAGCACAGTACCTGTTTGTTTTGACTGCTTGAGGCCAGTGCCGCACCTGATGTGTTGCCAGTTAACAAGCGGATTAACAATCCGTGATGTTTTTGTCGGTGATACAATACCAGTTGGAATTAATTTCACTATTTTGGGACTGTATGTGGTCATGTGGGGGATGATGCAGCAACCACCGGTTGGATTTACCGACCTTGAAGCTACTTGAAAGGGAGTGATGTTTCCACTACTCGGTGGGACTTAACAGTAAAATAAAAAAAAGACAGGTTGCATGTCTGTTAATGCCTTGTTTCTATAATGTTAGAGAGAATTGTTGTAAGGCTGGAGAAGTTACTATGTCTGCATTGTACCAGTTAAAATATGGGGTTTCTCAATTACCTGCTTTGTTTAGAGTGTTACACATCTCTTTTCATCGGTACATATACTGATGTTTACCTATCTATTGAGGAGGAATTGAAATCAATTAATGCCACTGTGGTTGGTTGTTCTGTCCGCTTTCGACAACAATGGCAGCAGGAGTTGTGCGCGTTCACGAACTATCCTATCGTTTTTAGGAAGAGGCTCTCTGGTTTTATCATTCTGAAATAATTACAAACTATTTGGAGTTATGATAGGTGCCAAGCTAATCTAGAAGTACCCAAGATTAAACATTAAATGGCTGGAAATGAGCAAAATGAGCAGGGACCTAATGAGAAAATACATTTCATAAGAGAATCTCACATGGTGCAATGGCTATTTCCCACTTTTTTATATTCAGGTTTTTGACAGTGTCAGAGGAAGCTTGGCTGCATTTGGTCTTGGTCTTATATAGCGCCTTTCTATGCTTTTACAGCACACTCAAAGCGCTTTCACATTATTCGGCCATTCACCCATTTGCACTCACACACCGGTGACATCACCAGGAGCAACTGGGGGTTCAGTGTCTTGCTCAAGGACACCTCGACATGTTGACTGGACAAGCCGGGAATCAAACCGCTAATCCTCCGGTTAGGAAACGACCCGCTCTACCTCCTGAGCCACAGCCGCCCCCAGTATTTACAAGCTGGATTAGGCTGCAATGGCCGTCAACAACCACAGGCTACTGCAGAGATTGGCAAGAGTATAACATACCACAGTGTTTAGTAACTACTAAATTTGCATCTTGCCTTCTGACAGTAACAATACTATCTGAGCATTGTCAAGTATGAAACAGTGTGAGGTAATAATGTATAAATATTTTATCATATAAAGGTGCATCTCAATAAATTTGAATATTGTGGAAAAGTCCATTTATTTTGGCAATTCAACTCAAATAGTGAAACTCGTGTATTATATAAATTCAGTACATACAGACTGAAGTAGTTTAAGCTGTTGCGTCTTTTAATTGTGATGATTTTGCCCACATTTAAAAAACTGAAATTGGTAATGGCCAACCTACCGAACATAGTAGTAGTGGACAAACAGAAGAAGAAGGCCGTAGTGATAGATGTAGCAATCCCAAGCGATAGCAACATCAGGAAAAAGGAACACAAGAAGCTTGAGAAATACCAAAGGCTGAAAGAAGAGTTAGAAAAGATGTGGAAGGTTAAGGCACAAGTGGTCCCCATGGTAATACTGTAGGAACATTGGGGGCTGTGACCCCCAAACTGGGAGAGTGGCTCCAACAGATCCCAGGAACAACATCTGAGATCTCTGTCCAGAAGAGTGCAGTCCTAGGTACAGCTAAGATACTGTGCAGGACCCTCAAGCTCCCAGGCCTCTGGTAGAGGACCAAAGCTTGAAGGAAGGAATAAGACCGCTCCAAAGTGGGGCGAGTGGGGAATTTTTACTTTTTTTTTAATATACCTATACTGGCTATGTACTCAACATAGCCAGTATAGGTCATGTGTGAAACACAAGACTTTGCAATGATAAAAAAAAAGTTGAATCATCTAATGTTCAATTTTATTTTTTAGCAAATAACCTAAAAAGCCAAATTCAAGGAATTGTCTTGTCACTTTGACCATCAGCCTACATCCCACTTTTCATTTATAAATTTCCTTCATGTATTTATTCAGTCTCATTCACATCTACATTAATATTGCATAGGCTGTATTAAGCAGAATACTGAAATAAAGAAACTGCTAATTATCATTAATATAAAAGAGATCAGCCACCCAAAATAGTCCTATGTGTTAAGCTCTACTTCATGTGGATTTATCGTAAGTTAGCTGAAAAGTTTTAGGTATGTAAGAAGAAATATGCTACATATCACCCAGATTCCACGGTCTGAAGAATGAACCATATTTATGCATTTAGGTTGTGGATTAGTGGTTGTAATTAATCTTCATGGTCTATTTCCTGAGTAACATAAGGTTTAAGTTAAGAACAGTGGTTAGAAAATGTATATTTTAGGCAACTTAACCTCTAGAGTCCCTGCGTCCTCATATGAGGACCGCACAGCTTGGGTTTCCAAAGCTCAGGACTCTAGAGGTTAAATGCATTCAGTCTGCCATGCTTGTTCTTGCTGTTTTATTACGGTAGCCTTGTTTCCATTTTTTTACAGATTATGTGGTTGAAACCCCCATAATACAAAACTCAAAAGCCAGTTCTATTTGTTACTGTATACCGTCCACCTGCCCATTATTCAGACTTTAACTGAATTCTCAGACTTTGTCTGATTTAGTGCTTAGTACAGATAAAATAATCATAGTAGGTGACTTTAATATCCATGTAGATGCTGACAATGACAGCCTCAACAGTGCATTCAGTTCATTAGACTCAACTGGCTTTTCTCAAACTGTAAACAAACCCACTCACTGTTTTAATCACACCCTTGATCTTGTTCTGACATATGGCATTGAAACTGAACACTTAATAGTTTTTCCTCAACACCCTCTTCTGTCTGACAATTTTCTAATAACTTTTGAATTTACATTAATGGATTATACACTATGTGGGAAACAATTCCACAACAACAATTCCTCTAGATAATCCAAAATGCTGCAGCCAGAGTACTGACAGGAACTAGGAAGAGAGATCTTATCTCTCCCATATTGTTAGATCGGCTCGAACACAGGGGTGAGCGAGTCACAAAAATATGATGGACCCAGGTGGCTGACTTCAGTGCAAGCAGTGCTAAGTTTAATTACAGTGAAATATAACAAGGAAATGAATAATCAGGTAGAAGTGGGACCGGGTGTCAAGCTGCAGAAGTGAATACAGTCAGTGGCTGAATGATGAG